CTCTCATTAACTAACTAACAAATAAAATACATAACATATGCTCTTGTTCAGTGAATCAATGAATACCACTGTGATTGTTTGATTTTTTGTTCGTTTTATGTTTTCTTATCTGAATTGAAATAAGTTTTTGTATGAGTAAATGTAAACCAAATTTCTAGGAAGTTGCACAATTGAGAAAATGTCATATGAGTGAATTCTTAATGGAAAGCAATTAAGATAAATACCGGCTGATCAGTAGTTAATTTAGGCTGATGTCAATCTGTTATCATTTGAGAATCCTCTGTCATATGCTCGTGACAAAACATAGAAAATATATGCTACCAATCAAATTAATACCGCAAATCAGACATGGTGAAGTGGAATTATCAAGATGAATATCGAAGTTGTAGAAATAGTTGTGGTGTCGGTAATGGTAAAAAAATTAGAGACATTGTATTTGTAGAGTTAAAAGTACACAATAAGACAAAGATTGTATGCACTTGCGCAAATGTTACTGACTCAACGTCTCCAACCTATGGTCACGACCAGGTCGTCTGTACTGTTATATCCGAGCGAAGATTAAATCACGAGTAACTTATGAGACATTAATTGACTAAAATTATCTATATATTCTTATGGTATAATTATTCAATTATTAGATTATGTGTATTCATATTCCTCTTATTATAAGCTTCATTTTGACCTATAAATTGTTATTATACGGTTTACTGTCCCTAAATTATGCTCAGCTTATTAACTACTGCCTCCCACGTTCACAGCCACCTTTTGGCTTTATTGTGTATAAATGGTATTTCCTATTTTATGGTGCGTTGCGGTCTGTTTGGTTGATACATAAACCCAGTATGTTTGAAATAAATGATTCGATTCGATTCGCATAGTGGAAGCTGGTATTGATGTTCTGGACTCAAGTGGACGGGCTAGGCGGACATAGGACCAATAAGGACGCTAGGCTGCTCATACCGGTCGAACGTCTTTGGTTTGGCACAGCAACAAGATTGTATAAGTCGTATTTGATTGGCGGATAAGTCACGTGATAAAAAGCCGGACATAAAGTCACAACATATACCTAATAAAATAGGTCAGATATGTAGACAGGGATTTCATGAACTAGTGCTTCGTTTTGGTTAAGAAGTGTTATCGACGTTCGTTCAAATGTCTACGTATATGTTATCGAATTCAGCACTATCAAGTTTTGGAACAATAAGAACACCATTCAATCACTAAAACAGGATCTGATAATCATCACCAGATAATACTGAACCAATTGCTCATCGAACAATTAAAACCATATATTTTCAAGCGCTGCAGCTTCTATAAATGAAATTCTCATCTATTATGTACTTGGTGATGAGATATTCATTAATTAACAAACTATTTTATTAGGGAAAACAGTTCGCACGACTGGATATGATTTAAAGCTTAAATTTACAATCTGGAACATAGCTAAAAAGTTATATTCTAATTATTTGTATATAGCACTGTAGATAACAGTGATAAGCCATTGTGATGAAGATTTATTAGGCATCACACTACACTACGTTAATGATCGATGGGTTAAATGAATTGATCTTCAGAGATTACTGAATACAAAACCTGAAATCCACTGAAATTTGAATTCGCTCAGGTAAAAAATAAAAATGTATTACCACCTAAGATTACCGTAGTATTTGTACACTAGTAAAATCAACAAAATACTTTGTTGCTTCTTTTATTCAGTAAATGTTGTGTACATATCCACACACTTTTCTTCCTATCCAATAAAGTCTACTGAAATGTGTTCACGGTTTAGTTCATTTTTCTTGCTAATTAAGAATACTTTAAATACTGAGGATTTATATTTCATCACTTATACGCGATATTTATAGTTAATCCACGTGATCATCCACCTATAAAGGGCCTGCAGTAATGAATAATTACAGTGACAAATTAAGTCAATGTATATGTAAAGCAGTTTGATGATTGAGGCTTACTCTTCTTCGTATTCACGAGTATGTATATTATGTTCATTTCATAGCATCTCTCTCTAAAACTATTTGCTTGGAAATTTTACGTCAAGTTTTGGTTCAAGCCACATCGAAAAAACCTGCAGGTTTGTAGTATAAATTTGTAATCTATAGTTGAGGGTGTTTCGAACATTGGTTGATTAGTCTCTGTAGCCACATGTGTTTCATATGAGAAAACAATGAGTATAGCGTTTCGTCACACTTTATAATATATTTAGACTGGGATTTGAAGGGATAAGTACTAGGTATTCAAGTCCCAATACCAATATCTGCACTGGGATATTGGTTTACCCATATAATAAGCCCGAAATATACATCCTTGATTCCGCTGCTAGCCAAAGACTAAATATGCTAAAACAGTATTTTTGATATAAACGCGGTCTAAAAACAGTTGGAGATATAATTTACTATATCAACGAGTCAATAATTTGTAGAACCCTGAGTATTTCATCAGTTCACGATAAACGTGTGGTTTTTGCTTTTTTCTAATAAAAACTATGTTGGCATAACCTATGATCGATTGAATCCCCATCATACGTCCTGCGTTTCGATCTGTTTTATCTTTGTGTAGGTCAGTCAATTCTCTCTGCAATAAAAAGATCAGAGAATCATAGAGATTTGTCATCGAATACTAGGGATAATCGAACAACCATTTTTTACTAATATGAGACTCAGTAGCTTAGGAAACAAATTTATTAAAAAAATCAACACAGAGCTCTCAGGCATCATAGATAGTGTGTTGACTATTACTAAATCGGTATATTTCACTGAATAGCAGTCCAATTTCAGTCAAGAATTTACACATATTTTCGAAACCATGTATATCACAATAATGTAGATAAATAATTTAATAAGGTTTTCTGAATACGTTTCTTGAAGCGTATACGTCTTGTACTGTAAATACATTATGCACTAAATTTCTAACCTTCTGAAATATTCGATCATGGAACTGCGAACCGAAAACGGATGCAAAGAAATACAAAGAGAGTTGTACTTTAAAGGTTGGATTATATACGAAGCAAAGGTGAAACATAGGAGATTTTGAGATTCTAGAAACATCTGAGAGAAACTCTTAAATAGCTTAAGGAACCAGTAACTATAATCAAATTTATTTCTAAAAATAATCGGCTGTTCTCATCAAGTTTATCAGAACAATTTAAATACGTGGTGACAAGTCAAAGTGTTCTCAGCATTTTCCATGGCTTCTAAATAATTTTTCAATGAATGACACCGAATAGAAACTTATACTTTATAGTAAGAAAGACTTCTACCAACTCAAACTTCAGGCACTTAGTAAAATGTGAATATGAAGTGGAAAATAAGCTTTAAAAATAATTGACTAACAACCTAATTAGGCATTCTTTATGCAATCTAACGATTTTACCCCTCATCCATTAAATTAATTTTAATCTGTATCACTTTAGTATCTAACCACCTATTTTAATCGAGAAAAGTATTAAATATAAAGTTACTACCTTTATAACATGACATTAGTTTTCCACTTACAACTATACGATAATCACAACCACAATAAGTACTATCGTATTTGCAAGCCCAATTCTTGTTATTATGTTACCTTGTTTAAACAATTATCACCATTTCACGGCCAATAACATATCAATCCCACCTATTTTCTAAGCTTATTGATTGTAACTTAAAACTTATTGTAGCTAACACAGAAGCACTGAAATCTTAAGTAAAATGAGGGGTTCATTTTACTGCTTCGAAAACTTTTTATGTGCTTACGTTTATTTCTAACTCATTTAACGCTATATTATATATAGTTAAAACCAAATAAGAATTTTCATGACTTTACGATGAGACATGAAATCAAATAGCTAGCTGACTTGCTAGCAGAAATGGGTTAATTCAAAACAACTGAACAACGATGGGTTTCAGTATTCTTTATAACGAAAGACTATCCAAATTCACACTTTCCCTCTATCTCACTCTATTCATATGAGTATAAAAAGCAAGAGCAGGAAACAGCAGCGATTGAGTAGTTTCTTTCTCATGCCAGTTTATTAACAAATTTGAAGAAAATAGATTTCTCTTTTTCAAACTAATGGTAAAATTAGAATCAAATAGCTTCCGGAAATGCAAAGAAACATGACAGGGATCACTTTTGTTCTTCTGTACTATTGTTGTTCAGTGAGTAACATTTAATCAAAACGGTAAACTTCTTTTTTAGTCTTGAGCATTTGTGGAGATTGAAAAAAGTTCTACTGCTTCGACTGAGACTACGACTAGAACTACGATTAGGACTACGACTACTGCTACTACTACTGCTACTTCTTCTTTAACAGTTTTGAAAGCTCCCGAAGGCTTTGAAAACTAGTAACATAAATATCCATAATTTCAACTTATAAGTTCTGAAACTGTATTTGGCTGACAAATTAAACCTTAGACGTCAATCAATGAAATTATTAAATAACGAATCGGTAGAGTGTATGTCTTTCTCGACCGGTATATTTTATAAAATTTTGGATACAACTGAGGAGTACTATTCCACGGAACCATGGAACAATAACTCCAAAATCTCTAATGATTCTGCAATTAAATTCAGTTTGTGATGTAAACCGTACTCTCAAATTGTAAGGACGGTCCACGGGTGAACTCGAGGATGCTGTAAGAAGCTCAGAAAGAGACGAAGGTATTCCATCCAATCATCTTTTGGAAGAGTATTTTAGAATCCCTTCATGTAGCTTCCCGATTTGACAATGCTAATAACCCCCTGTGTGCGGATTGGATAGCTATAATGATGATTTCGTTTTAACTAAAAACTACAAATACATGACAGTTTTGTACTATAATTGACACTGTCTGGAATAACATTCCTTTCACTAGTCTTCTGTCTTCTCGTTTACGACTCGGAAGAGTTCTAGAGTTCCAGTTATACGCGGCATATCATGAATATAAGCTCTAGATATAACACAAATAAAAATTCTCAATCCTTGGACAGTTGTTAATTAGAACTATAACAGCAGAAATACTTACTTTCAGTATTCATGAATCCTTTAGTAGTTGGATCTCGAAATAGTTCTTTATCGATATGTTTATATATGTCCTTATCATCATGATTTCCTTGACTGTAAGATAACCTTTCTTTACTTAAAAATTGATAGACTCCTTCAAATCCACGAGCTCCAACACTGTCTACATGTGTTTGTAAAGTCAGCATCATAAATCGATTATCTGAGCTAATTATAGTTTGTTCTTTATCACCACATAAGAACAATAATTGTTTTTTTAATTCATAAACAATTGGGTTTTGGATAATCTTTTCCAATTGAAAAAATGAAGAGTAATTTAAATCAAATAATGAAGTAGTGATTTCATGAAAATGAATTGTATCACGTTTTGAGGTGTAATGACAACTGTAGACAGGGAGGGGGGAGATAAAGAGAGAGAACTCAATTTATTTTTCAGCAGAATAATACGAAACAGCACAAATAACAGCATTAAAATATGGATGAATATCACATTAGGAGTTCGGTCATTGCCTGAATAGCTCATTGACAGCGTCTCTAATTATGACACCTGATGACGCAGATGAAGATTATATGGAGAGTATCCTTTCTCTTAATGTCCCGAATGCATCTTTCTGAAGAATGTAGACTAAGACGAAATCTAACTCAGTCTGTGATTATTGCTGTTTGATTTCAAACACCTAATAGGAATCTAGTTTTTGTAGCAAATATTTAAGCTTAATTTGTGTTTCTACAGGACTGTCTATATATGATTGCCTGACTACTGACCTTCTCAATTTACTCTCTGTTTTGTTATTTTAGTAAATTTATAAAACAACTGGTTAGTACATATATTCTCATGTATATTTTTCTACCTCTAAATATTCGAATGCAATTGTGATGTAACTGTTTCGATTTGATTAGTGTGGTGAAAATTCAGGTACATATATTTTCATCGCATACTTATTAAACAGTCTGTTTGCATTACTTATAATAAAGCCCTAATTCCAAGCTTTCATCTAAATCGTGAACTGTGAGGTGATTTAATTGTGATTTTCTAATGCGTCCAACACCTGGTTTAATCTGTGGTTAAATAGAGTGCATTAAAAGTTTTTTTAAATGATCCTACATCAACTTGAAGTTAAAACATTAATCAAAAAATGTTTAGTAAATTTCATTTACATACAAAATTAACAGTGTCGGATGAGTTACAAAATCAAGACCTGATAACATCATATGTTTATATAGTCTTTTATCGTTCAAAACTATTTAGTCAAAACAGGGCATACAGCAAACATGGCGCAATCTTTTGCAATAATCTATCGTGTCAACAGCAGTCTACCTAATTCCGTCAGACTGCGAATCCTACAGACGGCTAAAGCAATTGCTATTCGAATCAAAAAGCCAGACCTCTGTATCCAAAAGAAGTATGTTTAACATAAATGTCCCAGTAATGGACAAATTTAGATCTATCATTTATAATACATGATGGTTTTAAAACTTATGCATTAATATTGACAAGAACTTTTAATTCTAAATAATGCTCTTTGGTGGTAGGTACTTGTGTACTCTTCCCGTAAGTTTGATTGGTATTTGAAGGTAAGAATTGGAACATTGTATGGGCTATCGATTGTTTTGGCAAATACTGCGTTACCAGAAGCAAATCCGATGGGGAAGAGAAACTCATGACACTAAACGATTCAGTGCTTACATGTTTAATGGGAATAAACAGAACTCCACTGTGAGAATTTCGTCAAGCAAAAGTTCTTGTAAACTTGTTCCGATAGAAATGAGCTATTCCTAGTTATTGAGCTTAGGTAACACTGAGTATATATATATATATATATATATATATTACTGAGGATGCTGTTCTTTGAGCTGAATGGTTTAATCATGAAGCTTACATCGTCTTTCTCGATATCATCAGCAAACTTCAATATATATTCATTTTTGAATTTTATTTATAACGGACGATATTATCTATGGTAACGATAAACCATGGTTCGTCTATAATTAAGGTTATCCATTCATCACGATTTATTAATCCGTCAGTTACGCAAAAGTTCATAGTTTATAAAAAGGGATGATCTGAGGAGAATTAACTATTTCAATGTTTAAAGCAGTCATTCCCTTTGATAAACTTGGTCAGTGTAATAAGATGAGGATTGTCAGAACTGCATAATATATCAACGCAGTACATTTCGAACAATCTGATCACACATATATTTGTTAAGAAAATTAATATATAAAAATAAAAGGTCAATTACATAAATGGAAGGTAAGAGGAAATAAAGATTATAAAGATAGTATGAAAGACAATGTGGAAACTCATCACTCTGGATAATAAGCTAATATTACTAGCGTAGGTTTAAGGTGAGAACAAATCGCAATAGAGGATTATGAATGTTGATCATCTACGCTTATTGGGTCGTTTGATTTTATTTGTTTTCGCAACTATTTAGGGTAGATATTCAAACACCTAATCAAAAGCATTTCGTTCTCACCTTAAACCTACGCTAGTAATATTAGCTTATTATCCAGAGTAATGAGTTTCTATTTTGTCTTTCATATTATCTTTATCTCCTCTTGCCTTCCATTTATGTAATTGACCTTTTATTTTTATATATTAATTTTCTTAACAAATATATGTGTGATCAGATTGTTCGAAATTTATTGTGCCAATATATCACATGTTCCAATGGTAATATCTAGTTATAATTTTCCTTTTTTTCACGAACAGTGTTACACTAGTTAAACTTAATCGACTCAAATACTAGACAAATTAATTAAGGTAATCAGAGTTACAATCAAACTGGCTCAGATCAAAAGGCCCAATAATTCAATTGAGCTAACTAGCCATATGAGTGAACTATTGACATTGAATCAAAGAAGGAAATAGAACGAAACGTGCGTCCTGGATTCCACTACTAGCCACTGTCCATCTTTGCTTAGAATGCTTGTGAATTAAGTCAATATCATGGCAATACACACAGTATGTAAATGTGTCAAGAGACTGATCAACTGCAGCCCTAACACATCAATGGGAAGATTCAAGCAAACAATACCAATAAAATGCAAATAAATTATTATTGAAACTTGTAGGCCGAGGTGTCAGTAACAAAACTAATAAGAAATTCATTACACAATTACATCTTGGATCTATTTGGAAGCAAACATATTCTGATCTAAATGTTAAAAAAATACTAAGTTGTTGTGTAGTATCAAAACTAACCTTTTGTAACTCCATAATTGCACATGATTTAATTTGATTACAATACGTTCATTATAATGAGCTAGAAAATAATATTTACATAACATCGATGCTTTATAAAACTGTGGATAATTAGGACTGAAAAATTTCCCGTTTGTTTTTGTACGTGAAGAAAATAATTCTTCATTACTGCCCTTATGATGTTGATTTAAACTACTGCTTTTAGGCGATATCTGTTGGTTATGATCATCTTGAATTGTGATATAGGATGAACTGAAAAATAGTTGATCACATTGTGTTGCTTTGATTGGTAGTCCATCAGTGTGATATGCATCTAATTTGAGAAAATTAAGTGGGACTATAGAACTTGAGAATTCATATAGATTTTTTCAAATAGCATCAAGAATTATGACAGAAAATGGACCAAATATTTGACTGAAATATGATTTTTTAAACAATGAATCTGACATTACAGAGTTTCGCGTAATCCTTTAACATATTATTCCATCCAATATACACACAAAATGAGGTAACATGGACGAATTTCCATAATGCTTGACGTGTACCGATCTTATCCAATAAAATTGTCTCATCTTCGTTTTCATTACATAAGACATACCTGGAAGACCTCGGAAGTCAGAAGGTTAAAAAACTTCATTATATTATGTTCCATCGTCCTAGGTCCGTTCCCATGTAATAAGTTTGAGTTTTAGGAACAAAGAAAAGTTGTGAGGGGTTCAGTTTATTAAACATGCAGAATAACCTAACATAACTAAAAATTTATGAGCCCGAGATTCCTGTGAAATTACTGAGAATATACAGGCAAATTATGATGCACAAAGTATTTATCAGCATCATATAAATTCATTCACTCACGATTAGATGAAAACCTCCATGTATAAAGTGGAATTGATCTTATGTCTTCCAGGAAGAAATTAGTAATATGCAACGTTATGAATGTCATGTTTTGAAAAACAAACTATGTATCCAAGTATGCACGTGAATATTTTTGAAGTAGTCTTAATTGGTAATCTTCAACAAATTGATATATAAACCAAGGACGAAGAATAGCATTTTAAACGTTTTTAGCACCTAAGAGACACGATGAATGGTGGTGAGAATATACCAATCGATCTGCACCTAGAAGCAGTAGTTAACAATCAACTAACATTTTCCCTGAGATGTTTTCTACTTTAAAATCACATTCGTGTTTGCAGATATTATTTTTATTAAATTTCATGCTGGTGACTGAAATTACTTACTTAATCAAAAAGCAATTTTTATACCAAACATAGAGACAATTTTTCTTACTTCACATTGATTGCTTGAAAAACCGAAATAATCAGTAAACAAAACTGTAGCTTAATCCGTGAATCAATCATAAAAAAATATGTATAACCACAATTTGATAGTCTTTAGATAACATTCTCTTACCAAGACGTAAACTGTTTTTGAGAAGTATAGTCTTAAACGCACTGATGGTATCATTTTATTATGAAAAATCATAAAACATCTTAAATCTAACAACTGAACCTTACTTCTAACAGATACATCTATTAAAAAGAAAATTGAAAAAAAAGTCATGACGGGTTACTAGGCTGTCTTTTTATGGAATTGTTATTTGATTTCAAAATTGTAACATACATTCCTCACCGTCCATAAATTACAGTCAATTATTTGTGCGTCAGTTACTCAACTTTGCATCAAAAATACACTAGTTATGCAAATAGTGAAATCTATTTATTGAGGTGCATTATGGTCTTGTATACCATGTTTATAATCATTTAAGTTATGTATCTAAGTAATCAAAGTGTTTGAAACAATTCGACAGACCATCTTGTGTACTGACTGAATTTTTCAGAATGTATATATATATATATATATATATATATATATATATATATATATATATATATATATATATATATAGTTCCTAAAACTAGGATAGTAGAAATTTCCTAATTGTGGATTTAAAGGTGAGCTTGTTGACCCACAAAAAATAATAAGTTACTGATTTCGGTATTTCACGAAGTGTTATAACGCTCGGTTTTAGTTCGTCTAATGCTATAACGATTAGTTTTTCACGTTTACACGTATGGGACGTTAATTTACCTTAAATGATTATCTATACTAGATTCCCTTCCAGTGTCTATTCTACAGGACTTCAACACAACTCAGATCAAGTATACGTAATCAGCTTGACTACAACGTAAATAAATTTCGGCATAAGAACCCGAAACAATCCAACAACAATGAACAACCAATAATCAGTAATAATAAAAAGGATAGGGAGATATATAACTCACGTGACACCTGTCAGATTATCTAAATGCTGACATCCATCTTTATGCTAAACATTTACTGCACGGCCATTTTTTTCATCCCTTTTGAAAAAATTTTTCATCCACATCTTCCAATAATTCATTCTGTTTCGTCCAATCAAATAACAAGTTTTAAGTTCAATATAATCGGTCGTTTACTTCTTAAAATCAATATAAAAATATCAGGACATGACGACAAAGCACATTTTCTTACAATTATGGACGGTAGTAACATTCAAAGCACGAGCTCCGTCGTTCCTCACGTTGTCACAGAAACCGATAACCTGTTCGTTCTTGAGCACATTCTATCTCGTAGTGTTACAATCTCTTGAAGCGTTGAAGAGCGCCATTAGAACGTATGAAAGAGTCACGTACAGCCATTATGTGGTGAGGGATTCTCGTTTCCATAGTCATTAGAAGCCGTATATTAAATTTGTATGTTGGAGAAATGGCCGTAGAACACCTAGCGGTTCCTCACAGCCGAGTAGACGAACGAGGTAATTTGATTAGTGTTATTATAATTTTTCATAAAGCACTTTCGTGAACACTCCATGTCCTTCCTTCATATTTTGTAAGTTACCAACTATCAAAATAACGTCAATATAGATGCAACGTTAAGCAATGACGAGGAAGAAATTGTTTCGATGAACTCAGAGGAGTTCACTGAACGAGACGACGACAATGACGAAAACGCATATGAAAACAGACTTTGTGATATTTGCAATCTTGCGCAACCGCCACATGAAACTGCTGATGGAAGTACCTGGATTTTTTGTCCATGCGAAGCAATGCTTCATTTATTTTGTGCCTACGACCCATCACCACACGTCCATGGAATCCACTGTCTCATGTACGGAGCTATAATCGAATAATAGCAACGCCATTGTTCATGAAATTCGGAACTGCTAAGAGAACGAGTAAAGGCCCTTTTCAGGGCCACCCACAATTTGACTTAAATTCTTTTGTTTCAATTCCTTATTTCCATAGCAAAGGTCAAGTGATCAAACCATCAAAATTCATTTTAGATTAATAGTCATTATGTGATTAGCGCCTACGTGTTCGTAAACTCTTTTTAAGCTTTATCAAATACACAGTTTAAGTAAACGATTTCGTATAGGAAATGTCATCTAATGAACACTAATCTGTCTAACAATAGTACATGCAAAACGTATTCAGAATGTTTCAGTGTTTTGTCATATAGTTACGGTAGACGAATGTAGTTCTACCAGTTCACTAGTACAACGACATCATTTCTATAGGAAAGGTCAACTGAACCAACATCGATGAATTTTAATTAAGCCTTAGTGATTAAGCAATATAATCAATTGAGATTTATAAAAATTTCGTGGATTAGATCATTAGAAGAGAATTTTGGAAAATCTTATAACTGGTTTTAATAGTTGGTGATAGTAATAACTGACGTTGAAAGGTGGTCAAATGTTTAATACACAATTAGTAAAGAAATTATTCATCGAAGTATTTCCATTAGTTTTTTCTTAACACATCGTATGTTATTTTAATAAACGTTATATGCGTAGCAACATATCCATAAATCATCATGATAAAGTAATGAATAGGGCATGCATAAATCACGCTAACCGTTAACGATCGGTAAATGAAGCAAAATAGTAATAACTTCTCTCAGAAAATAGCAAATAATATTTATGATTGGGTACTTTTCCAAACAGTAATTCTTAGTAGAAAAGAATTGTTTAGTTTTACCTGAATAATGGTGTCATAAATAAATGCAAGATTGTCAATTGTATTATTTTGCTAATCCGTTAAAAGAGTTACTTGTTTTTAACTGTACATTCTTTGTAGTTGAGCTGTTTAAAATTATGACAAAAAATACTTGTCTATGTAAGTAGTCATGTGAATAGATTATTGTGCTCGTCAATTGGGCTTAATATTTTTTGCACGTAATGTCAACAGCATATTTGCACTTTAAAAATCCCCATAGAATATTCTATATTGTTGAATAACAAGTTTTGACAAGCATTTGAAATATTGGTTGCATTAAGTGTAAAAGTACAGGCCTACGTCTGACAAAATAAACATCTATCTCAATTATACAGCTTTATACGAACAAAGTCATTTGTATCAAATGACATTTGGGTATACGTACGTTTAATGTCAATGTAATAATAAATGAACCCACTGCATCACCGGTTTCACACGGCGTCTGCGCAAGATTACAGATGTCGCATAGTCGGTTCTCTTCATCCTTCGGGAAAATCTGCACTGTTAAGAGTCAAGGTTTTTTTTAGGGCCACCCACAATTTGATTTACATTAATTTGTTTCAATCTCTTATTTCTATGGCAATGGTCAGGTGATGAAGCACTTATTGATGTCGAATAAATTTTGATATTCATTTGAGACTAATAATCATAATGCGATTATCGCTCATGTATTCGTAAACTTTTTTATAAGGTTTATGAAATATAAAATAAACGATTTCTTATAAAAGAATATCTCATCTAATGAACACTAATGTAATAATTTTAGATTCAAAATAATGTGATTGCCGTTCATGTATTAGTAACATATTTACAAATTATCTAACAATAGTGCATGTAGAATTTAATAGAAATATTGCAATATAGTGAAAATTGTCATTTTGTCGTTTGGTCAATGAATATAGGGTTTTATTTATTAGTGAATATAATAAGATGATTAATGTGATTTAACGTCATACAGGTTTAAAAAGAAATCAGAATATTATCTTATTTATGAATAAAATGATCAGAATATAAAACAAGCTGAAACCAGAACTATTCGTACGTATGAAATATGTCTGATCGTTACCTTATTCATAAATACTCATTATATCACCTTATTTATTTTTACACCTCTATTACCTTTAATTACTGTAACAAAAACATTTTAATCACCAATTCATTTATTACATTGAAATAAAACTTCAGTATACCTAAATGTTAATTGATACTGTTGACCATATTCATATTCATCTGTATAATGGAGATAGAAATTCATTGCGTCAGACGATGTAGA